CGATTTGTTGAAAACTTTCTGACATGACGCACTTCGCTAAGTTATCTCTTTCATAAGATTGTGCAAATGACGTCAATTTTTTTACAGAAAAAAATGGTAGATCCGGCACTTCTTTACAGCTGCCTTCATTCTTTCATTCCTTGCAAAATATTTTTTTCTTGTTGATGTTTTATCCATTTTCCGAATTTTTCGTGTCGCGTGTCAATCAGGGCTTTGTTGGTTGTCAGTTCGCTGTCGACTTTGATTAGCATTATACTGATCTAATGGTTTATGTTAGAAAATTTCTATGGTGCAATTTTTATAGAAAAATTCTTTTTTTTTTCACTGCTATGGACTGGAACATCCGATTGAGGCATGATCTAGTCGATTTTGTTCTAACAATTGCACTTGTAGTATCCTGAGACTTGATTGAACTATCGACTGTTTCTGATTGAGATTGATTGATTTGATTGCCAATTATCAACTGTTGTTCTCTGTACATTAAACGCCTTCTAATTGTGCGCTTTCGGCCATGTACGATATATCGATTATTTTCTCTCTTAATGAAGTGTCATTGATAGTTTTAAAACACTTTTCATTGGTGTGACCAATTTGATACCAATTAGCATCACAGTTATTGAGTTTTATAAAAATGAGAAGCAGCCTCAAAACTTGGGGTTGAAGAATCTTGGCGCAGGAAATTAGCGAGTCCCTTTACCATGCAACTGCCCAAGTCCCATTGCAAAAGATGTATTCCAAAATGAGAAAATCGCTCCAAAAAGGGGTACATCTGGGGTCGCCACGCCCACTGTAGGTGGTCTAAAATGTCGAGCTCGGAACTGGATACCAAAAATATGCAGCAATGCTAAGAATGTTGTTTTAGAGTGAAAGACCGATTTTTTACATTCCTAGATATCTATCGATTTGAGCCCATTACTTTCGGGCCCCTTAGCGATGGGCGTGGCGACCTCAGCAGCATCCACTTTTTGAAGCAATTTTCTCGCTTCGGAATGCATTTTTTGCAGCCGGACAAGGTGAAATTGGACGAAGCGACTTAGGGGCTATCAAGTTTCGCTATTAGAGACATCGCTGTGTGGCGTAGAATGAAACTTGAACGCTATAAAAGTCCCAGAGTGGGAGGAGCTGTCCCCACTAAAGTATAGGCAGTTAGGATAGAACGACGGTCTCAATCCTGCTTTTACCTCGATGAAGCTGAGAGTAGATGTTGCATTATTTTCTGCGTACTTAGCAAGTTGGAAATGCGAAGAAGGGAGGAGCAGTCTTACTGGGTAGGTAGCAGATGGGCGGAGCAGTCTCATGGTATAGATAGCAGATGGGCGGAGCTGTCTCACTATGACATAGGTATGAACTTTGCAGAACAAATCTCTTGCTTCTCTGAACCATCTGTTTCCGCTACGGATGTCCAAGGCTCCAGAACAGAAATAGGAGCACTTCCGGAAACTACCCGG